TGCCCTGGGGTCCCTGGGGCTCTGCCACCTTTCCTTCCCTGCACGGCCCTCTAGTCTCCTGGAAGGTAGGGTGGGAGGGGGAGACGGAAGCAGGTCGAGGGCCTGGTCAGGTCACAGGCTGTGTAGACACCAATGCTCTAAGCCTTTGGCCTGGTCACTCTCCCTGCTGTAGATCCCTTTCTCATTTCATTCTGGAGATCAGTTTCAAGGTAGTGGCCACCTTCTCCTAGAAGCCTGCCCTGATTGCTTTGAAAGGTAGAGTTAGTTCTTTTCTCTGATTTCCTCTTCCTAAAACATTCCACTATCTGAGACCCATTTCCTGCCACTATTCCTCTTGTCTTCTTTCCTCTACTCTAACCAACCCTAAAACCCCTCCATGCCATGGCTGCCTCAGGTTTTGGTTCATTTTGTGGTTGGAGGCGTGGGATGATGTGACTCTGTGTTGGTGTCCATGGTTTTCTGTCTGTTGGTCCGCATGGAAGAGCTGTGGTCAGTTTGAGGCTTGTAGATGAGAACGCTGGTATAGATTATATAACCACGGACAATTTCTGCCCAGCTTGACATGGGTTTGCCTTAAGTCCACTGTGGGGAGTGTTGAGAGGCGGTTAATCCATTGCTGATCAGATTCAACCAATATCAAGGGTCAGAGGGAAGCTTAGATGTAATATTGATGATGATAATATCAATAGCTACCTTTTTTTTTTTTGAAAGCACTTGCTGGGAATTCACTGGTGGTCCAGTTGTAGTACTTGGCATTTGCACTGCAGGGGCCTAGGTTTGATCACTGGTCAGGGAACTAACATCCTACAAGCAGTGCAGCTCATCCAAAAAAAAGAAACAAAAAGCACTTCCTTATGTGCTAGACACTAGCTATTTGTTTTACATATGTTATATTGCTAGGGTATTGATCTGATTTTAATAACTGAGACAGAATTAAGAATGACTTAAACAAGAAAGTATTTTATTTCTCTTATATAAAATGCAAGTAGTATCCAGGGAGTTGGCAGCTCTTCTCCACTGGGAATGTCCAACAGCCCAGTTTGCTATTCTGTGGCTTCTGTATGCCCTCATCTCTATGAATAAAGATGGCTCACCTGCTCCACAATCACTGTGTCTGTATTTTAGCCACCAGGGAGGGAGGAAAGGAGAAAGGGTAGGTGTGCTGGTTCCTATGCTGTGTAACAAGTAAACCCAAAACTTAGTGACTTAACCATTGTATTGCACTCATGATGTTGTGGGTCAGGATTGAGAAGGACCTGACTGGGCCATTGTGACTCGGAGTGCCTCATGCAGCAACTGTCAGAAGCTGACTGGGTCTGATCTCCAAGAAGGCTCACTCACATATCTGGTGGGTTCTGCTGGGTGTTGGCTGGGAGCTCAGACTGACACCTACATGTGTCCTCTCCAGTCTGGTGTCTTGGGGTGGTTGGGCTTACAGAACCGTGGCTCCTAGAGCTAGTGGTCCAAGAGAACCAGCAGGTTGACTGCCTTGCTGTATTAGTTTGCTGGGGCTGCCATTACAAAGTCCCACAAACTGGGTGGTTTCACCACAGTTCTGGAGGCTGGAAGTCTGAAATCAAGGTGTTGGCAGGATTTGTTCCTTTGGAGGTCTGTGAGGGAAAGATGTGTGCCAGGCTTCTCTCTGTGGCTTCTAGCTGGGGGTCTTTACCCTATGCCTCTTCACATCATCTTCCCTGTATGCCTGTCTGCTTCTGTGTCCAAATTTCTCTTTTTGGAATGACAATAGTCATGTTGGATTAGGAGCTCACGGTACTGCAGTATAACCTCACCTTAATGAATGACATCTGCAGANGTGTAATGGTACCTCATTGTGGTTTTGATTTGCATTTCTCTGATAATGAATAATGTTGAGCATCTTTTCATGTGTTTGTTAGTACAGGCAGATTCTTTACCAGCTGAACTACCAGGGAAAAACTCACTCCTAACCCATCTCAAAACGGCTCTGACACTGTTTCCTTCCAACCACCCCAAGGGAAAAACCCCTCCTTCCACACTCAGCCCCTATGTGACCCAGAGCCCCTACCTGACCCAGACCCAGTTTTTCTTTCCTCCCCATTCAACCATCCCTCTCCTGTAGTAATTTATTATATGGATTGGTTTAGCCTTCTCAGAAAGAAAGAAGCCTTCCTCTTCTGGAAAAATTTGATCTGACAATGATAGGATTTGCTTTTGCAGGCACTGTGGGCAGGGAGGACTACTGAGCACTCCTGAGCCTTCAGGGGACCCTGGAGGCAGATGGAATCCTCATGGTGGACAGAAGTGGGGACAGAACCCAGGTTTCAAATTAATGACCTGAGCCCTTAGTTGGGCCTGAGTTGGTCCTGAGCGGGTGGGACAAGGACCCCAGGTGTGTGTAAGTGTGTGTGTGAGACAGAGAGATAAACCTCAACCTGAGGGTTTCCCTAGGGAATGGGGGACCCCTGAGTTCCTGGCATCTGGGGTTGGCCACCATTTCCTTTCCCTTCTCCCTCGCTGCTGCCAACCCAGTGTGAGAATAAGACAGTGGCCTGAGTTGGCCCAGGCTGCTTTGGAGGAATTCTTGGAGAGGGTATGTAATGCTAATCGCATTCCTGCCTTTGCAGTCCCGTTTGTGGGGACCACCTTCGCCCTGTGACCTCAGGTGTTTCTGGGGTCTTCCTTTCCTGGTCTTACTGCAGCCTTCACTCCATCCTAACACTGCCCAGTGGCCGCCGTCCCTGTCCCAGAGAGCGTGGGATTGGGCAGGGGAGGGGGACCACTTTCACTTAGCCTGTCTGCAGGTACGTCCTTGGTGCTCCTCGAAGCAGAGCTCCATGGCAAGCCCTGGGAACAGATGGTGAGTGAGAAGCATCGCCCAGTCTGGACGTGACCATACGGTTGAGAAAGCGCATCCACTGCCCACTCCTCCTCAGTTGTCACAGCATCGCTGAGAGGATCCAGAAGAGGAATGTCTTGTTGGCAAAGGAGAAAAGTGAAAGCTGTAGGTTCTGCTGACATTGTAGAGTAACTGTCATTATTGTAGGCACTGACAAAGCTGTTTACCTCTGTGACAGGACACTACTACAGATGGCCTCAGCTCTGAGCCAATCTCCAGATCTACCGTGTGTCTGCAGGGGCTGGGACCTGACCTGGGTAATGGCCGTAACTGGTCCCACGGCAGCTGGGGTCCTGTGGAAGCCCAGACCCTTCGAACTATGGTTGGAGCCTGGCGCCCCCTGGTGGCAGCCTGCAGCCCCTGCCGGCCTCACCAGAGGCCCGCCTACTGGGGTGTGTGTGCTGTCACTTGAGTTGTGTCCAGCTGTAACCCGCCAGGCTCCTCTGTACATGGGATTCTCCAGGCAAGAATACTGCAGTGGGTAGCTATGCTCTCCTCCAGGGAATCTCCATGACCTAGGGACCGAAGCCATATCTCTTATGTCTGCTGCATTTGCAGGCGCGTTCTTTACCACTAGTGCCACCAGGGCAGCCCCAGCCTGCCTAGGAGACCAGCCAGTAATTCACCAGCCCTGTTTTACCAAGTTGGACCCCGAGGCCCAGAGAAGGGCCAGCAGGGCTTTTGGAGACAGAACGATCTCCATTCTGCTTTGTGGAATTGGGTGGATCGTTATTGTTCTTGTTGCCAGAAATCAGAATTGAGAGGAGAAAGGTAGAACTCTGGCAATTCCTGAGCCTTCCTTTATCCTCATTAACTTGAGGAAAATCAAAGCTTAGATCTGTGCAGCATCACCTCCAGTCCTCATCCCCACCCCACTCCACCCCACCCCACCCCTGCCCCTGGTCCTCTCCCAACACACTCTTTTGGTGTTGTGATCTGAGATGGCAGAACCTCAGGGGTGAAAAGTCCCTTGCCCACTACTTGGGCTTCATTGAGACATTCGGACACAGTCAGTTATGCTCCCAGCCCTGAGCTGAGGAGGGAGCCAGGGGTGGGGGAAGGGACGCTGAGCAGGGAAGACTCACAGGCTCCTGGGACCAGGGCAGGGGGTGGGGCAGGGGTGATTGCTGGCCCTGGTGGGGTTGGAGATCTAAGTCAGAACTTGAGTCTTAGACAGCTGTGTGACCTTGGGCTAGTATCTTCACCTCTCTGAGCCTCATGTTTCTTAGTCAAAAAGTGGGAAATTAGAGCAATAGTTTAACAGCCTTACTTAGAAAAAAAAAAGAGCACAGATTTTGGAGTTAGACTTTGTTTCAAACCCTGGATCTCCACTGACTAGTTATGTAGCTTGAGGCTAGTTACTTAATGTCTCTGAGACTCAGTTTCTGAATCTGTAAAATGGGTTGTTGTAGGAACTCACTGAGGTGATTGAGCTGGGAGCACTTTAGAAAATTCAAGACTTTATCTTTACCCTGGAATGAAGGCACTGGGAAATGGCTACCAGAGACTGGCCTCCCTGCCCCCTCTTCCTTGAACCCAGGAACAAGAACAGGCACACCAGTTCTCGTTCCGCCTCTATCTGCTACCCAGGGAGAGGGTTTCTCCCTACCTGGGTCCCCACTCCTTTCCACATTCCCTGGTTCCCTGAGGCATCTCCCCCGTTCCATCTTGTTCTAATCATAGATGCACGGGAAGTCCTAAGTCTCCAGCCTTCATCCCTAGAGTCTCAGAGCCATAGCCTCAATCTTCTGCCCGGAGGGAATCTGCTTGAGTATTTGGGTTAATCCTGGGGAGACAGGCAGGGCTGTTCCGAGTTCTGCAATCAGAACCTTTCCGTTATCCTGCATTCCCAGGACCCCATCCTTCTTGAACTAAGCCTACTCTGGTGCCCGAAGGCATTCAGGAGCCTACAGGAGACTGATCGTGGCCCACGTTTACCCATTATGCTGCCAGTGTGACACCCACAACACTGCCCTGTCCCCTTCCTGTCCCTGGTCCTGGTGCTTGCGTTGCAGGCACCAGGGAGATGGTGGGAGGAGGGGGTGAGGGCTGGGGAGGGAGAGAGGCTGACAGGAGGCGGGGACTCGGGGGGCTGAGGACTATAAAAGGGTCAAGGACGGGGTGGGTTCCATCCAGCCTGAGGCAGGCACTGATTTGGTCCAGCGGCCACTCGCTCAGGACTCAGGGTAAGTGGGCTCAGCCTGCTCCTGGCTCTGGGGCCAGGGGTGGGTTGTGTAGAAGGACGTGGTGCTTTGTAGGGCTGGGGGCCTGCAGAGGCCTGAGATCCTGCTTGGGTCTGGCTCTACACCTGGACAATTCCATCACCCTGGGAGAGCAGCCTGCTGGCTAGAAGCCTGCAGGTGTGTGCCGGGCAGCGGGTGGGGGCTGTGAACACAAGTCTATGTGTGTGGCCATACCTCCTGCTCGGTGACACGGCTGTGGTGTCCTCTCCAGGACCTGCATCTGCATGTCTACCCTGGCAGAGCGGCTGGGGAAAGTGGGGTGGAAGGACAGCACACCCACAGGTTGTGGATTTCTGCCCCTTGGTTCACAAGTCCCTTCTGTGTGCCCCCACCCTGCAGGGGAGCTAAAGCGCCTCTATTTCCCACAGCCCCTCCCCTCCAACTCTCACCCGCAGCTGCCTCTTCAGAGCCATCAGGCTCTGGGTGTCCGGAGTCCTGGGTCTCCTACCCAAGACCCAACTCCCCGATTCTCTGCTACACTTTTCTGCCTTGCCTAGGCCCTAGCTGAGCTCCAGCTGCTGTGCTTCTCTGAAGAGGGGGCTGGTGAGCTCTCCAGGGCAGGGTCTAGGAGGTGGGGTGGTCAGCTCCCAGTAGCCCTCTGCTCTGCCCCTTGGTGTCCAGGCTTGGAGAAATGGGTGATGGGCTGGGGGAGGGGGGCGGGGTGGGCTTGGTGCTCCCTCTATCTCCCTGATCCTGGCTTCTCAGATGGCCGCCGCGCACCGCTGCCTCTTCCTGCTCCTCCTGTCCACGTGCGTGGCTCTGTTGCTGCCACCACCCCTGGGTGCCCTGGAGGCCCCTCTGGAGCCAGAGTATCCGGGGGACAATGCCAGAGCAGAGCAGATGGCCCAGTATGCGGCTGAGCTCCGCAGATACATCAACATGAGGACCAGGCCCAGGTGAGTGTGAGACGGGGAGAGAGGCCCCAGCCAAGACCCCAGGCCCAGCCCCTTCCACGTTCTTTGGGAGCAGAGCATCTCTATGGTCTGGCCCGGGCCCCTGTGCCCCGGGCAGGATGGTGCCCGAGGGTAGGCATGAGGCAGGTGAACTGATACCTGGGCATAGCGCTGGCCCCACCTGTCTCTCCCCTCCCAGGTATGGGAAAAGAAGCAAAGAAGGCACGCTGGACTTCTTGGAGTGTGGGTCTCCCCACTCAGCAGTCCCCAGGTGGGTTTTGCTCTCTGTCCTCTGTGCCCAGATGCCTGGGGCAGGAAGTGGGGGTGTGTAGGATGGGAGAGAACAGGCACCCAGGGCTGGCCTGAGGTCTCCTGAGGGCACAAGGACTACCCACTCACACTGCCGTGTTTTGCCCTCTTCTTGCAGGGAGATCGGTACAATGGACTCATAACGCCACTTCCTGCTCCTCCAACTCCAGGGCGAGGCCGGCCCAGGTCTCCCGTCTGCACCCTTGGCTCTGGCTGTAGCTTGCTCCCTGCTCCCATACTGGCTAAATAAAGCACATCAAAGTTCTTAGCCTCACTCTCTCTGTGTCTCTGCAGACCCCTGGTTGGGACAGGAGCAGGCCAAATGCACAGGAAGAAAGGGACAGGCAGACAGAAGGGAACCGAGGGTGTTATGACTGATCCAGAATGTCCGGAGGGTCATCAGGGCCATGTAGTTCATCCTGTCCCCTTCAGAGAGGGGCAAGTTGTGGCCCAGGGGGAGAAGGGGATCCCCCGAGGTCATTCAGCAAGGCAGTGAATCTTCAGCTGTCCCATTTCAGCACCTCTAGACCCTGCTGATCACTGGCTTGATGGCAGCCCTGCCCCCAGATGGATCCCCACCAATGTTTTCTTATAGCCTAGGCAGTAGGTGAAGTGCTAGTTTGTACCAGAGGCAAGAGCCCAGCCCAGAGGAACGACTGGGGTTAAGACAGTCATGGTTTACATCGGTGGCATTGGAGTTGCCCTCTTTGGGGCGGTGAGAGGCGGCTCACTGCATGATGGGCTGAAGTGTGGCCCCTCAACAGGCACAGCACACAGCAGAAGCATGGCCAGAAGAGGGGGACAGAGATGGGGAGGAGTCTGGAGATAGTGTCACGTGAAATTGTTGGGAAAATGAGCTTCTGTGTGCCAGGGGTATTTAACCCTCTCAACAATTTTGTGAGGGGAGAGATACTGTTATCCTCACTCTACAGAGGAGGAAACCGAGGCTCAGAGAGGTTCAGCATTTGGTCCAAGGCCCGGCAGCAGGTGGTAATCCAATACAGGGACACAGCATCGACTTGAGTAAGATGAACCTGGGTTTGAATCCTGGATCAGCCATATCCCTCTGTGTGCACCATAACCTCTCTGAGCCTCAGATTCCTCATCTGTAAAATGGGAAGAATGATAGGGTTGCAGTGAGCAGGACGTGAAATGATGCATGTGAAGTTTTTAGCATGGCCCTTAACCCAGGAAAGCTCTCAGCAGACCGGAGCTTCTGAGGGGCAGACTTGCAGCCAAGCAGCTGTTTCCATGAAGTGTGGCAGAAGGACATGAACAGAGGGATGACTGGTCTTCAAACAAACGCAGCTTCAGCTTNGGAGCTTCTGAGGGGCAGACTTGCAGCCAAGCAGCTGTTTCCATGAAGTGTGGCAGAAGGACATGAACAGAGGGATGACTGGTCTTCAAACAAACGCAGCTTCAGCTTATGGGAGAGGTTAGGGTTAACTCCGTGTGCCTCCCGAAAGGGGCTCAGGAAGGCAGACTTTCCTTGACAGTAAGGAAGCATCACTGAAGAACCAGAAAGCTGGGAAGAACTTTCCCTGAGAGGCAGTGAACTCCGGGGTATTTAAGGGTTACTCAAGTCAAGTCGCAGAAGGGGAGGCTGCAGGAGGAAGCTGACATTACAGGGAGGAGGTTGGATTAGCTGAGAGATGGCCACCTCCAGGAGACCAA